CACGAGATATCGAAATGAATTCGATGATTATCGAATACAAAGGCGAGGTCATACGCAGTGAGGTATACGATTTGCAGTTTGATTTTACATTTTTAGCAAGTAAATTTCAATTGCGAATTGTGCTTTCCTCTAGCTTGAAAGTTTTTTTTGACATGCAGTGCTTCGCAACAAATCAGCGATAATTAAAGGTTGGAGAAATGCGGGAAAAGAAGTACGAAGGTCAGAATCGCGGTGTTTATATGTTTCGAGTTGATGATGAGAGACTCATTGATGCGACGATGGCTGGTGGCCCTGCGCGCTACATTAATCACTCGTGTGATCCAAACTGCAGTACACGATTGGTTGATTCAGGCCCTTCCGGGGATGACAAAAAAATTATCATTATCGCGAACAGACCGATCAGTGCTGGTGAAGAGGTATTCTTTTTGAAAAATCTTTTGATTGTTCTAAATATTTTCTGTTTCTGTATCCACTGATGGGCCTTCTATGACGTTTGCATCTGAGGGTGTTACGGGTTACGATTCCTCTCTCCTGCCTTGAATGCAATAAATACTGAACTGTTAGCAGATGTAAGTTGAAAAGGGAAAAGGAGGAAGTTCCAAAGAAAAGTTTTCAGATGCCATTTTTTGCCGACAGCTTAAGGCTGAACTGTGAAATCGCCCCTTAAAATTCGATATAAGCACAGTGTTAATCATTTCCTGCTTATTTTGCTGTATTATCTAGCTTCTAAATATTACTTCCGAGTTTTTACGTAAATTTTCTCCTAACTGACATGATGCAGTGTCTGAAGTAGTCTGGCGGTGGGATAACCAATTCTTACGTCTCATTTCGGTAATAAATTTGCATTGACATATGCCAGGGAGTCAAATTCTTAGTTTGCTTCCAAACTGATTCGAAAGAGGTAGATATCGACAGCCAGGCCAACGGGCGATTGTTGGCACTTGTTACCACTGGGGCTTCCTCGCTGGGTATCTTTTGTCTCTCACGGATGACGAATAGGGAGGTGGACTTGACTCTGTTATAAATCTTGCATTCGCTGCGATTATTTCTCACCTGTTGTTTCATTTGTTAGAATTGGAGATGAAATTCATGAATTTTCGTCCAGCATTTTATGTTTTATAAATTTTTCAGCTGACATACGATTATCAATTTGATATTGAAGATACAGCGGACAAAATTCCCTGCTTATGTGGTGCTCCAAACTGTCAGAAATGGATGAATTGACGGTAACATCAGTATGAAACAATGCATTTATTTCTTTTTACAGCCTTCCAAAAACT